CAACTAAACTATGGTGGATAAAGATACAAGGGTCCCTACAACTAAGGAAGTAAATCGGTAAAAATATAAACGCTGTAACTGCGACGTTACCAATGCAATGTCGTCGAGCAGGATGCCGAAGGACGACGCACGCTCTGTGAGGGAGTCGCTGACTCGCTGACTGACAACCTCACGCTGAGTTATAAGTTCACTAGCATCAAACTGGGCAACGACAGCCTTTAGAACTTCAGTTGTGATAGAGGGCAGGACACGTTCCTCGTAATCGAAGCCGAGGTTCGAGTAAATCTTTGGAAGGAGTTCGGCTTTTGGCCGGTACAGGATGCGCAGAGTAATGTTGACATTTTGAAGATCTAAAGTAAAACAACAGTCTTGTCACTAAGGGAGAACATTATGATGACACCGATCGGGCCAGAATTCTGAACTCGGAGATTTAAAGGAGATCCAGTTATTCGTAAAAACAACAATTTAAAAAGTCCGGAGGGGGAAAATGAGCTTGGAAAGGACTTTACTGAATCATGTTATGCGCCCCCAGAGGTCATCCAAATTTCTGAGTTGTCAATGGTAAGCCGGGATGGGCGTCTTAAAAATGTAGACCGTGAAACCTCTGCTATTTGATGGTTACCTGGCGCATCCGCGGGTAGCGGAACGATAGTTAGTTAGAGGTTAGTTGGGAGAGTAGGCTCTTGAACCTGCCAAATAGGCATTTGCAGACTGGCAGTGACGGGGCCACCAGAGCGCTGAGAATTTTGATCTGACACACCGGCCATCCTATAAAATACCGCAAAGCACGATGACGCGACCGCGAACTGCCAAAATACGCCTGCCTTTCGCTGACGCCCTTAAGCTACGTTCTTGTGCCAAAGCGCTAGAGACCAACCTCGGACAATTCTGGCAGTCGTTGGGGACTCACCTGTATTCATAAATTACAAGAGTCTCGTATAGTCAGTCCGAATCCCAATATGGTTTATTCATATTGGCCCAACTGTGAAAAGCTCGGCGCCTCGGTGGGATTCGAACCCACGCAGTAAGAGGAAGGTCAACGCTCTAACTGCTTGAGCTACGACGCCCTGCCGGACGACGCGAGTTTAATCACATTTGGGCCAATATGAATATGGATATGAATATTTATATGAATACAATTTATGATACGACGTTCAACATACGGATTCAATCAAGACAACGGACAGTACGCAAACTTTACTACTAAATCGGGAGTGGATCTTTGACGCTAGACGATGGAATGCGCGAAAGTCTGGCGACAGTACCCAAAGGTCCGAAAACGTCCAGTCAATATCAACACGAGGTGGGTGTTTACTGCTTGTTCGAATCGAGAACTCGGGCCTTTGGAAAGTCACGATCCCGGACATACCATAGCAGTCCATGCGACAAGACGTGACGACCACCTTGGAATAGTCGAACCATGCGTTCCTAGTAGGGACTGAGAAATAACCAAAAAGTACACGTATAGCCAGAATGGCACTTTAATAACATCTCTGCTGTTTCTGTCTACGCGCCAGCATCAACTTCTGAACATACTGAAACATACTGATGCAGCTGCGATAACGAGTTAGAAGAACCCCGCCACGAGATGCGGATTGTTGTTGGTGATTAGGACGGTGGAGGATGCACAGGCAACTCCTAGAAGACCACATTATTGGTAGCTTTGGGCGAGGTACTTGACGCTCAAGTATTGAAGGAGTGTCGGGTTTTGTTGACCAGAATCAGTTGGTTGTCGCCAAAACACGTTTCTGATATTACAGCAAACACCCGCTAACTGGTATCCAAGCGACAGTCGCGCCGCTCGCCAGACTGCACTTTAGCTAGTTTGAGACTTCGTAATTGGGTGCATGATAGGGGATCGAGGCGTGATGTCAAATTCAGTAACATCTACATCGTTCATACACACAGGCAAGTTTTCTCCTCATCTTCCCACAGTGTCTCTTGCAATGCGCTTTGGTGACGTCAAATCACAACAGTCCAACACAGTCGAGGCTCTGGACACAAGTTTGGTCTTGTCGTGGAGCCCGAGTCGAATGAGAAGGTAGCAGCAAATAGTCATTATCGAAGTCCTTAGTCCGCACGGCAGTTAAGGGGAGTCTCGGATTGACTGGAATAGTTCGAAGAATTCATAGTCTGCCCAGACAGCCAAAGCCAGGTCCCGCAAGGATTCCTTCTACCAGCCAGAAAATGACGGCAGAGGTGAGCGCAAAACTACTGGACCGAATTGGCGACTTTCACGAACCCGACCACAAAAGTCGGCGGTAATCAGGCCAGCAACTTATTCGATAAGCTGGTTGTAGGTCTTCCTGCGCTGAGTTTCTGTTGGTGATGCAAACAGAAAACCTATGTTCGATTAATGGGTCATGGTGGGGCGTGCGTGAGCACCTCGTATGCCTTCTCAGTTTTGACAACCAACTTCTCCCAGAGGAAATTTTTCATCCTTCAGCCCACGCACTGTCCCGTGACCTCCGCTTAGGAAAATTATCACTGTAGTACCGAGTCTATGCAACATGACGTCCAGGGGGCGGCGTTGTTAAGGTTTATGCCGTGTGGGCAGAGCGCCTGGTTCTTGAACGTATCGATCGAATAATGCGGAGCATTAATCGCTACCGGCAGTTGTCAACCGCATACTTTACCCAATTAGCTGCAGTTTTTTTCAAATTCATCGCGCGCTCCCGTCACAGGTGATGTAGTCGGACGCTGTGCCGGCAAATATGGCTATGTGCAAGGCCTACCACCACTTCATTGCGTGGACCTAGATTCACAGCAATCCCCTCTCAGCTGTCCAATATTAGGTTTTGTTTTTGACTACGTTGCGACTGAAGGGTCACCTCACGAACATCTTCATCGTCGCAGCGGAAGAACCCTGCAGTTGTCTGCTCAGACGGCTAGAGCTAGGTCCCGCAACGATGACTACTTCCGCCAACTTCGGAAGATGACGGCAAAATCGGCCAGGGATGACCGGAAGCAATATTGGGCTGAAATAGCGACCTCCATGGAACAGGCCTCGAGCGTTGGTGACATTCGAAAGCTCTACCGTCTGATCCGCCAAGTTATCGGTAAGCCCTCTACACTGAGTGACTCTGTTCGCGATGTGAACGGCGGCTTTATTGCTGACAACTCGGCCAAAGTCGAGCGCTGGCGTGAGCACATTGAGCACCATCTGAACTTCGATGCCCAACCTACCTCGCCATTGCTCTCCTCCTCAGCGGAGTTTCTTCCCTCTCCTACCTATGCAGTGCCATACGATCCCCCCTCCGAGGGAGAAGTCGCCGATGCCATACAAAAGTTGCGCAACAACAAGGCACCCCAAGAGGACGGTATACCCGCTGAAGTCTTCAAGTCTTGTGTCGACACTACGGCGCCCTGGCTCCATGAGGTGATTGAACGAGCGTGGACGACGAGGTTGTTCCTGATGACTGGGGCTTAGGCATCCTTGTACCTATCCTCAAGAAGGGAGATAAGACGTGATGCGAGAACTACCGCGGCATAAGTCTCATCGACGTTGCTGCGAAGATCTTTGCTATTGTCCTACTCAGGCGATTCCAGGCTGTGCGTGACTCAAGTACGAGGCCCAACCAAGCCGGATTTCGTGTTGGACGCGGATGCGCAGACCAGATATTCACACTGAGGCGCATTCTCGAATTTCGCCATAGCTACCAACAACCGACGGCCGTCTGCTTCATTGACTTTGCCGCCGCGTTCGATTTCGTTCACCGTGAGTCCCTGTGGCGGATAATGGCGCTAGATGGTGTACCGGCAAAAATCATCGCCATGATCAAGGCCAACTATCGCTCCACTACTGCCAGAGTCCTGGTCCGCAACAATCTTTCCCAACCGTTCGGTATTCGGTCTGGCGTCCGACAGGGTTGTATCCTGCCACCAATACTGTTCAACTACGCTATTGACTGGATCCTCGGGAGTGCCCTACGTGAGAGTGACGGTGTTGAATTTGCACCCGGACATCGACTGACTGATCTCGACTATGCCGATGATATCGCCTTACTTGCTTCAAGTTTTGGTGATCTGCACTCTATGGTGTCACGGGTGAACGAGGTCGCTAAATCGGTCGGTTTATCCATAAACGCTGGGAAGACCAAAGTGTTCGCAAGCTGCATCCCTGACCAGGAGAAGGCACCCCTCGGGATTTATGGCTGTCAACTTGAAGAAGTAGACAGTTTTAAATGCCTTGGGGCGAGGCTGCTGCCTAATGGGCAGAGTAAGGATGAAATTGTCTCCCGAATCGATGCTGCCCGCTGGGTTTTTTAAAGCCTTCGGAAATGCCTGTGGAACCAACGTGACCTCTCCATCGCCACAAAGATTCGCGTGTACCGTACATTTGTCCGGTCTGTCCTTCTCTACGGTTGTGAATGCTGGGCTTTGCGTGTGGAGGACGAGTGAAAACAAGAGGTATTTGACCACCACTGCTTGAGGACCATCCTTCGAGTGAAGTTCACCGACTTCGTCTCAAATGAGACAGTCCGCGCTCGCTGCGACAACATCTCAAGGATAACTCAGGCCATCCAAGAAAGACGACTGAGGTGGTTCGGGCATGTTCTTCGTCGACCACCTCAGGAGCTCAGTGTTACTGCCCTCGATCCGGCACCGTTGCCCCAATGGAGGCGTCGATGAGGGGGTCAGTTCAAAACCTGGCTCGACACAGTTCGTCAAGACATGGAGGTGGCTCTTGGACCTTCGGTATTCGGTCTCCGCCGTTGGCGAAGGGAATGGATTGAGCTGTCCAGATCTGCTGCCGCGGATCGTCACGCGTGGAGGTACAGTTCGGGACATCATCGAGGCCGGCTAGATCAGGCATGATCGCAGCCGTATCAAGTACAAGTAAGTAGGTTGCATTCTATCGCCATCCTCCCCGACTACGCCGTCCAATGAATTTTTTGAATGGCTCAACGCCGTCTTGGTGGCTTAATTTGCACACGGCAAAAAATCAGCGTACGCCCAGCATCTGCCCAGATAGCCCTGTGGTCTTGTAAATGAGAGGCTATGAGTGCCGAAACGAGTGAGATGCACCAGTTTTATCTCGAATGAGACGGTCCGCACTTGCCGCAATAATTGCACGGACACCTCAGGCAATCTCAGAATGACGACCGATACTACCGGGGCAACTTCTAAGTCGTTCGTCCCATGAATTCGGGGATTTTGCTCCTCATCTGATACCGTTGCTCAACCTAAGGAAGCGAAGAGGTCAGCCAAAAGCCGACACATTCAATCGGCACATTGAGGTAGCTGACAGGCCTCCGATATTCATTATTTGTCGTTAGTGCAGTCGGGCTCTCTATATCCGCTACTGCTGATCACCATGGGTGGAGGCACGATTCAGGAAATGCAGGCTCGACATGTAAAGTATGTTGACGGCCATAAGGCAAAGGCAACGAGAAAAAAACGACCAGAGTACGAAAGCGCGAAAACATACCAGTCGCTTATCAAACATGAGAAAACTTGGATTGGTAGAGTTCTTATATGGGAAGGTGACTATTAGCACTAAAACCGCAAGGCTCTTCACCAGGGGCGCGGAAGGTAGGTCAGACGACCTGCTACAGTGCACCAGTTTGTCAGGAAGGGTTATGATATACGTGGTGCCTTTATTGACGGATGACTGGTTACAGACGCCTGGGCCCATGATATGGTGAGAAGTCGAGGTTTGAAAAACGACAGTTCCGATGGCTGAACTTGTGTTGTAAAGCTGAGGCTTCAAAGGTGAATTTGTCAAGATAACAAGTACACTGGGGCGCTCCATTGTCTTGCAGCAGTAACCAACGGGAAAATCGAAGCTAGTTAGACGACAGATCAGCACAATTAGGCAAATTTTACGGTTCAAAGGTAGAGGCAAAATTGTACTAAGACAATCATCGAGAATAAAATGCACTGAAACGCGTCCACTGTATTTTTGGCCTCTGGCTCCTCGCGTACAAGCACACTCAGTGCCAATCAAAGCATTGAGTCTTAGAAAGGCGGGATGCCCTCAAGGGAATATGAACACGCTAACGTGTCAAACAACGAATTTCATGCAGTTACTTCTAAGTAGTAAGCTTGTTAGAAACAGCAGTCCCAACGGTGTCAGTGGCACGAGCACCTTCACCTACACCTCATCTATGGTCGAACTCGTGTTTCGACAACTCATTCACCCCATGCAATGTAATTACAAAATGAGCCACCCGGCGCAGCGACGAGGCGAATGAACGCGCAAACGCAACACACAAACCCGCTAGGTGCAGCGTTATTCACCCAGAACTTAAATGAGGGGAAGGGGGCAACGCCTATACTGTTTTACCAGTTTATGAATAAGCAATCAGCTGGGTATAACTAAAGATACAGGAGAGAGTAGAAAAACTACTCCAGACAGGAATATCGTGCTGAAACCGCATGATAAAACATAAGTTCACGCAGGTCATGACATACCCTTTGAACCTGTCATTACTGGAATGTTACGGGGCTTCGATCGGATGTCATATATAATCGGCTTCTGCACCCATGGTATGATGAAATGAGTGCCCTCGCCAATAACACTTTCTCGAACACCTTTGAAGCGATCGAAGATAACAGCACGATGGCCACCATCCACTAAAACCATAACTTATAGTAAAATAAAGATACCGTTATACAGCACCAACGGTAATATGCTCCCAGCTGCAGCTAAACTTATGCCCAGCTTTCCAATCCTAGAGAACCACGTGTTGAGATGCGCGGCCATCAAGACAAGAGTTCGGAGTGCTTGGATATTTGGGCGGCGGTGCACACCAGCACTATGAGCCTATGGCGGTTCGAGTAATCATTTGTGAATTATATAATCCTTGATATCTGGGAGATTAGCAACATAAAATTACGAGGTAAGCTTAGTGTAACTATAAAAGGGTAACACCCTGTGACCACCCAAGTGATCGGAGTTTGACTGACGGCGACAAACGGAGATGGCAACGGCTGTGGAAGTATACCGCACACGGGGACGAGAATGCAAACAGAACAGTAGACCAGAGCAACGTAACGTAACGTGCGGAGCAGTCGAACAGCAGATCACAGTTATAGTCACCAAGCAAAGTATGGAGACAATTGTGTTGACTTCTAGCAAGGTAAACGAGGAACCAGTCTAACCAATGTTGTTTGCGAGGATTCTAGCAGAGAGAAATTGACTGAAAGGCCAGCAGAGTGCGAAATAACCAGGTCGCTCATCCTCTTTTCGGCTGCCTGATTAATTTCTTTAACAAACCGACTACGTGAAGAAGGCTGGGGTTTTTGCCGTTCTCCTAACCATGTCTGTGGGATCTCACATATATCCTGAGGACACACGACTGAAAGAGGTTCACAGTTCAATTAATCGTGAACATACCTGAAAAAAATTACCAAGACACTTAAAGTTACTACTTAAGTAAACCTAATGTTTACGTAGTAACGCGTAAGTGCTGTAACTGTCACGCTAGGAACTCCTACTCAGTCGGCTATCTTCCCAAACTGTTGAATAAAGAAAATTCAGGATCTTGTTTCCGACTTTTTCCCATTAGTTCAGTTAAGTTTATTGAGAGAAATGGGCGTAAGCCTTTGAGTATCCTATTTACGACGTAAAACTGACTGCGGTGTACAGAAAGATTACCTCTGCGAAAATAATTCAGATGAGTCCACAATGGTATGACAAAATAGCAGTGAGTTTTAGATGATGAGCTCGGTCTCTCATCTCTCTTAATTATTTCGGAGCATAAATATGCCAAGATTCTTTTTTAAAACTTTGCATCGATGATGACATCACAACATCTATGAGGAGGTCATTCCATGGTTTGACCACCCAGACATAGAAGGAGAACTTCCGCACATCGACTTACTCGACTTACATCGACTTACTCGAACAGGTGCAACGCAGAGCGACAATGATGGTCGACGGTCTAAAGCATTTGTCTTATGAGGAGAGGCTGAATTTGCTTGACTTATTCCCCCTTTCTTATAGACACATAAACTGCTGTCTACTTTCGACGTTCCGGATAGTCCGCGGACAGGGTTGCTCATTAAGAGCAGAGGACTTCTTTGAGTTTGCCCGTACAAACCAACTACGCGGCCACACCTACAAAGTCGTGAGTGAGAGTACGTGCTTAGATCGTCGAAAATTTTCATTCAGCCAGCGGGTTGTCAGGCCGTGGAACTCGTTTCCAAGCTAGATGGTGACGGCCGGCATAATTTGTGTGTTTAAAAGAACGTTTGTTCTTCTAGTTTTCGACAGAAGTCGGCTTTTACAGCATGACTATTCACAGCCATTTTTGTAAAAAAAACCCTCCGAAATTTTTTACAGGGACCCTATGCACTATCTTACGATTACGATTGAAATGTGACTCGATCACATTGTAAATGCCTGCAATTTTATTTTCGAGTACGAATCTGCGAAAGCACTGTACATAAATAGGGTCATCAAGGGCTCTGCCTCTAATCCCCCAAATATATGCATACATACATCCAGCCTTGCCTACTAAGTGCGCAGTTTTTACGGGTGTCCTCGGAGGTTGGTCGAGATAGCGAATTCAAAAAAGCCCTCAAATTTCAGGCTACAGTCCTACCCCTTCACTATGCTTAATGCTTGAAAGAGATCCCCTTGAAACTGCCTATAACTGGAAGGGAACAGGCTTAGATTTATTGAGCGTGTAACATAAGGAAATGAGCTTTGACTCCTAACATCTTCAAGGCAATTTTGACCTTGAACTGATCACGGTCCCCAGGCCTGTATAGCGCATTCCAAGTGCGACCGCACAAATATTCCGGATGTCTTTGAGAAAGCGTCTTCGACAAAATCCATGAATGCACGCTTGATAGTTTAATTCAATTCAATTCAATTATTTTTATTGACGGACATTGCTTTTGTTGACACTGACGAACAAAGAGTGGATGGTTTAAAGGAATCCGCCGTCAGCACACCGAGAGCCTTTTGGACTTCGACGTCTCGTAAGGCTGCAGCGCCCAGAAAATAATATCTTTTGCTGGCTGATCTGCCTGTGTTGCCTAGGCGCAGAATGCCACATTTGCCAACGGTGAACAGCAGGAGCCAACGGTTTGACCACTCATACACCCTATTTAGGTTCAAAAGCAGTCTATCTTCGTCGGCAAGGGCCCCGAATTACACTCCATATCTTCATGTCGTCAACAAACATTGCTGCTTCGCAGTCTGAATAACTTGCACAATCGTCCACGGATATCAGGAACCAAATAGGTCCCAGTACTGACCCACTGGGGAACACCATTCTCGGCCACAACAGGATCTGGTTTTCCTTGACCGATGCACACAATTTGGTGACGACTCACAAGGAAGTTTACTATCCATTTAGAGAAGTAGCCTCTGATTCCTATTTTTTCAGTTTGTGTAGCAGTATCTGGTGTGGCACAGTGTTGAACGCCTTCAGTAGGTCAATAACAGCGATGTGGATCATGTGTCTGTCCTCGAGAGCTCGAGTTTAGCTCTGGTGAGATTGCAACAAGTTTGTCGTGGTTGATTTTCCTTTCCGGGGCCGTTTTTGGCAGTTCGACATCATGCTGTGAAATTCCAGGAATCGCATCAATTCATTCTCCATAATCCCCTCCATAACTTCGCAGTGAATGTGTAGCAGCTGCTCCAGTCCCCCTTTTCTCCGGCTCCCTTTTGTCGGTCGATGACCGCGATAAGCACTGACAGGCCGCTGACGCACGACCACCCCCGCCGGCTAGAACTGGGACACCTCCGGTCCAGCTGCAGTGAACCCCGGCTGCACTCAAAAACTAGTATCGCCTAACGCGCGTCGAACGCTTTGGCTTTAGTCCCGTGAGGCCTTATGAGTATGCGCCCTCCATACGTCCCCTAATTAGTCCAATCACACGACCACCACGCAGACAGTCACCCCCTCCTGCTAACTTAGACACACACACTCGCGTTAACAAGACAGACCGTGACTGACGCTCTCCGTGAGCGGACGCTTATCTCTGCTGCAAGCAAACAGCCAACTTACGGCAACCTGCCCTGTGTACAGAATAAACTAGTCCTTCCAGCTCCCTGACTTCTGACAGTAGACGAACCGGACTTCGCCAATAACACTTTCTCGAACACCTTTGAAGCGATCGAAGATAACAGCACGATGGCCACCATCCACTAAAACCATAACTTATAGTAAAATAAAGATACCGTTATACAGCACC